GTTCCTTCTCATGTGGTGGCTATAGTAAAAGATTGTATAGTAGAAGGACTATTCTTGTAAATTTCGTAGAGCCTTATAAGAGAGTATCTTCTTCACCTCTTCATCTCAAAACATTTTCATCCATTTAACAGTGGAGAATAATGATTCCCTTCTTCTATTAGTATTTTAAAGTTTTTTTTAAGTGTTGAAGAACTATCCATTGTTCCTAATCATCTCCTAGCCTTTAAGGTATAATCGATTATCTATAACTCTATATCTTCATGATTATGGTTTGCTTTATGATAAAATCCAATTTATATCTTTCAATTAGTTATTTGATCATGTTTCTAGTTGTTATATCATCTCTAGAACATCATTTCATCATCAACTTCCTTTAGTTATTTGATTGAAGCTCATACAGAAGTTTTTGGGTGTTTCTCCTTAAACTCTTATTTAAGAGTTGTTACTTGATTAGAATGAGTTTTGATTCTTGTAGATTACTCTAGAACATCAAGGTATCACTATCCTACCCCCATTGATTGGTTGATTCCATCTTCAATGATGGAATGTGGGGATTCGGAATCTTGAAGTGATGTTTAGGTTTACTTAAGTTTGAAGAGTTGTATTCTAGTTGTTAGATGAAGTTTTGAATTTAAATATAAATTATTATATGGAGTTATAAAGTTAATTTTTCATTTTTTATTAATCATAGTAATGATTCCATAATTCCATGGTGGTCATATGAGCAATTAATGGTTCCAATCGTGACTCACCATAAGAATTAAAGCCTCGCAACTCTATTATTGGAATTGGAAATGACAATGTTGAGACCATTTATCATTGTTGCTTCTATTGAGTTTTTGGAAGTTTATAGTCATCTAATCTGCAACCTATGTGGTGGTTGTCGAGGCCAACAAAATTAATAACCCTAAATCTTTTACACTAAAATAATGTATAGTGGTAAAGGGGTTGAATCCATGGAGATTGGTTCAATTTTATAACTCTATGAAAAATCTCTTTGTAAAAATACTTGTAAAATTCTAATAAAAATAAAAATGGGGATTTTGGTCTTTTTAAAAATACTTGAAATAAAACTAGAATTAAAGTAAGATTTAAATGGACAATTCCAACAAAAACAAGGGTTTGATGTAAAATCAATAAGGGAAAGATGGTTGACTTAAGGTTTCCTCACTTTCACTTTTGATGAACATATCATTAGAATCCAATGGTGCAATACTTGTTTTAAATACTTAATTTGGCTATAGTAATCCAATAAGCTTGAGATTACTTAGACTTTTCTTAGTTGTTGAAATAGTTAGAAAAGTTCATAACAATTTCCTTAGTCAAAGTCACAATTTCCATTAAGCATGTAATTAGTGAAAGTCAACTAGCATTAAAAACCAAAAAGTCACCAAATCCAAGAGGAGTCAAATGTTTTCACTTCCATGTTGGAGAAAATGTTTTTGTGATTGTGTGGAGTAAAACTAACACAAAAATCACTTGTTGCTTGCTAATTTGAAGATCATTTACTTAATCAAGAAATTAGCCAACTAATCACCACAGGCACATTTAAACTCATGAATAAAAACATACAAGTACTAATAAGATGTTAAAAGACAAAACATTCTCATAAGGTGTAACACCCATAAAATTCAAGCCAATTTTAAACTTTTTAAAACATTTCAAAACACATGATTATTACAAAACTTGTTTTCAAAATGATATATTGTCAGAGTATCCCAGAACCAGATCATAAAATCATTAAAATGTGAGGAGCGGTACGATCACGCCTTTGCCTTCCCGCGATCATCGGAAGTACCTGAAACAATAATTGATAAATGTAAGCTCGAAGGCTTAGTGAGTTACCCCCAAAATACCAACGCCATACAGTCATAATCGTACCATATAACATATAAGCAAACAATACAGCATGCGTAATGAGCCATCAGTCTGACTGGACCGAATCCCGGTCCTCAGTCTATCTGGACCGCTCTCCGAGCCTTCGGCACGTCTGGACCACCCTCCTTGGGGCCTTCAGCCTATCCGGATCGCTCGCTGGGCCTTCAGCCTGACTAGATTTGCCCGGCCCGGGCCTGCAGTCTACCTTGTCCGCCCAGGGTGTCTTGGCCTACTGCACACATCAGGACCTGCCTCAACCCTTTCCCCAAACCAACAAACATGTGCACATACATAAAACAAGTAAACATGCAAATCTAACAGTTCACTAACATGGCAACCATCCTATAACCAGGATACCGATCTAACCGATCTCTAGCATAGCAACCATCCTAAACCAGGATGAATTCTAACATAGCAACCATCCTAAACCAGGATGAAATCTAGCATAGCAATAACATAGCAACCACCCTAAACCAGGATGAAATCTAGCATAACAATAACATAGCAACCGCCCTAAACCAGAATGTAAATCATAAAGGGCCGGCCTTGGTGCCTTAGACCCTGTTGATATAGTGAGGATAACTCACCTCCCAAATGTCGCACTGAAGTGATAAGCTCAACTCTCGGATCACCAACACGAACTCCTCCACCTAAAGTTACCATAAAAACCCTTTTTCATAAATTTCCAAATTACCAAAATACCCCAAAGGTCAACTGGTCAACCCTTGGTCAAAGTCCACGTCCACAGTCAAAGTCAACAATCCATGTTGACCCAACTCGTCGAGTGTAGTTCACCGACTCGTCGAGTCCTTCCTGAGCTCGAGAAGTCGTGAAATCCTAGGTTGACTCGTCGAGTTCCCCTATAACTCGTCGAGTTCATGCATGTCCAAAGGTTGGGAAAAGAAAAACCCTAGCCGACTCACCGAGTCATTCGACTGACTCGCCGAGCCAAGGCAATCTTCATCGGACTCGCCGAGCTGTTCGTCCAACTCGTCGAGTACATGACTATCTTCATATGACTCGCCGAGTCGACCTTGCGACTCGCCGAGTCCCTTCAATCCTTCAACTATACAGATGCTTTTTAAGTCATGCAAAGGTTCCAGATTACAGATCCAACCTTACAAGGCATGCTTATCACGTAAAGTTGCAAACTTTACGTGCATGCAAAGCTTTAAGGCCCTTTAATGACAAAACTAAGCTTGCAATGAAGTCTCACACTTGAGGGAAGGCTCATTCTAGTCAAGACTGATAACTTTATGGATCTAGAGGCCAAAGGGAGTCCAGATCTGAAGTTACAACTTCAGATCTTAGCTCACACATAAGAAGCCTCTCATAAAACCCAACCAAAAGAGGTTTTTGATGAACATGAGCCAAGGAAAACAGTCTGATACCTTCAAGAGAGTGTTCACTGATGTAGATCTTGAATCCCACGAGTTCTTACTTCTACTTGCTTGCTTTCCTCAAGTGTTTCCTCCTCCAAAACTCTTCCTCCAAGCTTGAACACACCAAAAGAACACACACACTCGATTTAGGGTTTGAAAGGGACAAGAAGCAGTGAAGGGGAGGCTGGGGAAGGCCAATGATCCTTTAAATAGGGTGCAATACCCCGAAATTTAGGGTTTCATCTGTCGGCTCCTACTCGTCGAGTCCCTTCTTGGACTCGGCGAGTAAGTCACTAAAATACGTGGACCAACGCGCTGCTACTCGACGAGTAGGAAAAGCAACTCGTCGAGTAGCCCTTGAAATCAAGAAAACTCTTATATTAAATCAATACCTGAGAATCGGGGCGTTACAATTCTCCCCCACTTGAACTAGACTTCGTCCTCGAAGTCTGCCGCGACGAACAACTCCGGATAGTGCTCCCGCATCTCTGCCTCTGGCTCCCACGTCCACTCGGACCCCCTCCGATGCTCCCACTGTACCTTCACCAAAGATATCTCCTTGTTCCGCAGAACTTTCATCTTCCTCTCCAGTATGGCCACAGGTCTCTCCACATAATTCAGACACTCGTCGACCTGAATATCATCCAATGACACCACTGCCTCCTGATCCATAATGCACTTTCGCAACTGCGACACGTCGAAAGTGTTGTGGATCCGACTAAGCTCCTCCGGTAGCTCTAACCTGTAAGCCACCTTGCCAACCCTGGCAATGATCCTGAACGACCCAATATATCGGGGGCCCAAATTTCCCCTCTTCCTGAAGCGGATCACACCCTTCTAGGGCGAGACCTTCAGGAGTACCATATCACCGACCTGAAATTCTAACTCGGATCGGCGTCGGTCGGCGTAACTCTTCTGCCGACTCTGAGCGGTCTGCAGCCGCTGCCTAATCTGCTGAATCTTCTCGGTAGTCTGCAAGACTACCTCTGTCCGACCCATCACACTGTGTCCGACCTCACCCCAACAAACCGGGGTGCGACATCTCCACCCGTACAACAGCTCGAATGGCGGAGCGCCAATGCTAGAATGATAGTTGTTGTTGTAGGCGAACTCCGCGAGCGGTAGGTGGGAATCCCAGCTCCCACCGAAATCAATGACACACGTCCTCAACATGTCCTCGAGGGTCTGAATAGTCCGCTCGCTCTAACCGTCTGTCTGGGGGTGAAATGCTGTGCTGAAGTGCAACCGCGTGCCCAGCTCCTCGTGCAACTTCTGCCAGAAACGGGAGGTAAACCGAATATCCCGGTCGGAGACAATGGAGACCGGAACCCCATGGCGAGGTAAACCGAACATCCCGGTCGGTCATAATGATGAAATTATGACAAAAAATAAATGAAATGACTAAAATGGAACAAAAAAAATATAGGTCCAAAATTGGACATAAGCAATAGTTCCATGAATTATTTCGATTTTTTATCTTTTAAGTAATTAATTATGTATATTATGTCGCTAAGTTTTACTAATATTTAAAAGAACGGTTGATTAGATCATATTGCTAAAAGAATCAACAATGCTTACTTTTCTAACATACATGATCCGATGTTAATTTGTCGTCTTCAACAACAGTTAACGATGATTCAAGAAGTGGATGATACTTGATTTTCGAAGTGGATGATACTTGATTTTCTAGTGGTGAAATTAAGATGTCTAACATGATATAATCAATGGGTTGTTGACCATATGTCCTCAATAGTTAGAAGTCGGTGAGAATCCACATGCATGATGACTCTTGAGATGGACTTTGTGAAGAAGTCACTTTCATGTATTTTCAGAAAACATGTCTCATTTCAAAGGGTTATTTCCATAAAAGACCCTATATTTTTAGACCTAAAACTTTTTTCTTTTTCGAAAAAGACCCAACTTTTATATGTTATTTGTTATTTTAGACCCTAATAGGTCACAAAAAGGGAAATTAAGTATTTTTATTTCATAAAAGACCTTATATTTTGTATTTTTTTTCCACTTTAGACCTAAAATGTTTTTTATTTCAAGACTAGTTGTATAAAAACACGATTATATCCTTTTAATTTAAACATAGACATCGATTTAAACAATGTAATTATTATGCTTACATTTATTTATGATTGGACAATTCTTTGTCCACGTATATTTAAAAAAAAAAGTAGTTGTAAAAGCTATTTCTTCACTACACCAAGTTCATGTAGCTTAATTTCGTCAAGGCATAAAAAACATAATTATATTATTTTAGTTTAAATAATAGACAATTTAACTTTTGCATCTTTTGGCATCGTATTTATTTACGCATGAAACATTTTTTTTAAACTATTACACATACAACGATTTTTAACTTTTGCATCAATTTATGCTCAAATGGTTTCATTCCCATAATATAGTTTTTATGTATTTATATGTGATGTTAACATTTTTTAAGAATGTCTTAAACTTGAATCTGATATATCTAAACAAAACTATTACGAATGTTTAGGATTAATATTTTTATGTATGTATTTGATATAATTATAAAATATTATTCAATAATGGCAGGGTCGGTCCTGGAGATGTATATATATCCTCAAATGCCCAGGACGAGTCAGGGAAAAATGACTCCTATCGCTATTATAAGTTTTTTATTTTTAAATAAATGTATATATATAATATATATAATAAAAAAAATTGGGTCATGTGCAGCTGCCCACTTTGCCCCCTCACCCCCCCCCCATGAATAATGGGCTAATGCTACAAAATATTATATGACTTTGCTTTAGGAGTATGATAGTGAGTGTATTTGTTAACTGTTCTAAAAAAATGATTAAGAAATTCGACCAAAAAAATAATATAGAAATGGGAGAGAGGGAAATATGTCCAAACTCACCAAATAAGTATAATAGACAAACTAAAAAATTTTATTTTGTATACAGTTTCTTAAATTACGTGGTATGTATTTTTTTTCTACAAATAAAAAAAGTTGTTATTATGCTAAAAGAATCTTCCTAGCCATGTATTATCCATGTTACCAAAAAATATCAAATTAACATCAAACTTTTTATTAGCGGTAATAATAACATTTTTTATAAACAATATATCAGGTTTAATGATATAATATATATCCAAGATAAAGTTTAATTATATCTTTTACACAAAAATAAAATTTTGCAATTCTTCTAGGTTATACCAAAAGATAATAGATTAGATAACATTTTTTAGTTTATACATGTATACTTTCTTTTTTCGGTGTAGTCAAGAAGTGTCTTATATATTTGGTCTTGAAGATTATAACCAATTTTAAAGTTGAATTTATTTAAAAAAAACATTTTAGGTCTAAAATGAAAAAAAACTATAAAATATAAGGTCTTTTATGAAAAAAAAAATACATAATTTACCTGTTGGTGACCTGCTAGGGTCTAAAACAACAAGTAATAGGTATAAATTGGGTCTTTTTCGGAAAATAAAAAAATTATAGGTCTAAAAAAAAAAAATCAAAATATAAGGTCTTTTATGGAAATAACCCCATTTCAAAAATACATTTGCTTACCTATTTTCGGTTTTTCCAATAACGACCTAATTTTATTTAACGTTATATTTAGCCCAATAGAATAGATGCTATCACTCAAGCCTACTTGTTCAGGACAAGTAGGCCCATTTGGTAATGTCAATCATAAGCCCATAAACATGAAAGAGGAAAAACTAACCCTAGAATTACATAACCCTATTTCCCCTTTTATTTTCAGAGTTCGATAGTTTATAAACTATAAAGGCGGCCTCTTCCCGCCGGCGACGCTTCCGGTTATCAAACTTTTACGAACTGCACATTACCCACCGTAAGTTTCTAGTTCTTTCTCGCATCATCGTATTCGTGATTAGTGCATATATGATCAAATCGTTCTGTGTTGTATTATCATTCAGTTTAGAAATCATTTCTTTTAGTTTATGATATGTAGATTATTTGGATTTATATCTGCAGCCTTTTGCGATTATTCTTAGTACTCGAAGATTGTAGTTAGGATTTTTACGATTAGAGATCACCGAATGTCTAGATTTTTCCCTAATGAAAGAGCTTTTTACTATTGAGATTATGTTATTATATTTCAATTCCACAACTTTCGTAGTTTTTCTGGAATGTATTACTCTTTGTTGCTTTAAATTTGCACTACGATTTGTATTGAATGTAAAAAAAAAAAAAGTTATATTTGATCCCGATTTTCGTTTGTTTGTAGCTGAGAGAATGTTAATTCATGATTATTGTAAGCAATCAGCTGTTATATCGAAACATTCTCTGCTTTTTGTAATGAATTTATTGTTTATATGAGAATTTATAGTGTGAAGAAATGGTTGAAGACACGAAGTTAGGACAATTGGTTCCTGAATCTGTATTGAAGAAGCAAAAGAGAAGCGAAGAATGGGCTTTAGCAAAGAAGCAAGAAACTGAACTCGTGAAGAAGAAGAATGCTGCAAACAGGAAATTGATCTTCAATAGAGCCAAACAATACACGAAAGAGTATGAAGATCAGGTATTCATTCTCATTTCTCATTTCTCCTGTTTCTTTATATAATCATTTTCTTCAATCACTCATGAATTTCATCACAAATTCAGCAAAAGGAGCTAATTCAATTGAAACGTGAAGCAAGATTGAAAGGTGGATTCTATGTCAACCCAGAAGCCAAAATGTTGTTCATCATTCGTATCCGTGGGTAGGTGTTGAAATAAACTAAAATTCTTCTTATTATTTTTTTTATTAATATTTATTTTACATAACAATAATTTTTCTTGTGCACAATGTTTAGTATCAACGCTATGGACCCTAAATCAAAGAAGATTTTGCAGCTTTTACGTTTGAGACAGGTTTATTTGTTTTACCCAACAAAAAAATTATTAAATTTTCATTATATTGATCTCTATTAAATAATATTTATATAAACAGATATTTAACGGAGTCTTCTTGAAAGTCAACAAAGCAACATTAAACATGCTTCACAGAGTAGAACCATATGTTACATACGGGTACAAATCGTTACAATTTATAAAGATAACACATTCCCAATTTTAAAAAATTATTACAATTTCCAATTTTGTTAATTTCATTTAGGTATCCAAATTTAAAAAGTGTCAAGGAGTTGATATACAAGAGAGGATATGGAAAGCTCAACAAACAAAGAATTGCACTCACGGATAATTCTATTGTTGAACAGGTTTGTTTATATTGTTATTACTTATTATTTATTGCATGTTATTATTATTAGATTTTGATGTGAGTTATTTATTATTTTTTTTATAGGGTTTGGGGAAATTTGGGTTGATTTGTGTGGAAGATCTTATACATGAGATTTTGACTGCGGGCCCACATTTTAAGGAAGCGAATAACTTTTTGTGGCCGTTTAAATTGAAGGCGCCACTTGGTGGGATGAAGAAGAAGAGGAATCATTATGTTGAAGGTGGTGATGCTGGAAATCGGGAAGATTATATCAATGAACTCATCAGGAGAATGAATTAGATTTTTGATAATATGTTTTCGTTTTTGTTTTTCTTTTGGTGATATGTTGTTATTTGGAATTTATTTATGTTTAGTTATTTATTTGCATGCTTTATGTCTATTCATGTGTGTTTTTTTTTTAATATGGAGAGTATTTTTGTTGTTTTATCTAGGGGTCTAGACTGAAATCGAAATTGGGTTATTGTGCAAACAGAAAACTAAACCGAAAAAAAATTAAAAAATAAAAAATAAAAAATATTTATTATTATAATTAAAATGTTAAACATATACTAAAATATAAAAAGGTAAAGATAGACAATTTTCATTTTAAAATAAACTTTCATGGATAATATGATATATCCATGATTTTTAGTTAAATATTATTTTGAAGCAACACAATCGTACAAACATATATACAATATTTAATTAAATATTATCTACTCCCTCCGTCCCAAAATTATAGTCTATCTTTTTTTTTTGGTTTGTTCCAAAATAACAGTCCACTTTTAAAAATAAATAACATTTTTACTAAAATACCCCCTTATTATTTCTTAACCAACTAAGCATTTAATGGAACATTAAATGCAAAATAAGGACAAAACTGTTATTTTATTAAATAAAGTTAGTGGTAATTAATGTTTTTCTTAATATGTGTGTTTTTGTCTGTGGACAATAATATTGGGACGGAGGGAGTATATTATTTTTCATAACATAATCGATAATATGAATTTAATCTAATTTCACAACATATAATGATTGTCTTAAAATAATACTTAAACCAAGAAAAAATGAAATTAGTATATAAAAAACTTACAAATTAAAAACTTTAACATAATAAGATGACTCGAAAAATGGTCAAAAACCTATAAACTTTTTTTTTTTTTTTCAGTTTTATATGTGATTTGTATTTGTGTGTCTATTCAAAAAGATTGGCTTTTTTGTAATATCCACTAATTGTTTATTAAACATATTATATAAGTTGTAAAACTTTTGAATGGTTAATTATTATTTAGTGACTTTTAAGTGATATTTATTCAAATATGAGGTTTCAAATGAATATGATTTGAGTAAAAATGTGTATGTTATAAGATATATAGATATAGATATAGATATAGATTGGTGCATTAAATCAGTCATTTTTATTGAAACAGTGACATTAAAAACTTCAAAATGAACATTTTAGATATAATGATCTTTTTTCAAAAAATAAAGTTGAAAATAACCAAAATTAACTTTGGAATTTGAAGATTAAATTCCGAATGGAGCATTCTTTGAAAAAAAAAAATCTGGTATATAAATAGTAGTTCGGAATTAGATATCCTGAAAATATGATTATTTTTCAAAAAAAATGATTATTTTTTTAAAGCTCATATGTTAGATTACTTAATTTCCTAGAAGTATGATGTTAATTCTTACCTTTTACTATATCATCGTTTAACATAGATGTTTACATAGTGCTTTGAGTTGAACTTAGGTGCTTTGAGTTAATCTAGAAAGATTAATATTAGAGAAAATTACTCGGATGGTCCTTGTAGTTTGGCGTTATTTTCACTCTTGACCCCTAACTTTTTTTTAACTCAGATAATCCATACCTTTGATATTGTTTCGTGTTTGGTCCCTAAGTTAACATTCAGTCCATTTTGCAGTTAGAAAGCCCGACATGCCTTGCACGATGAGGGTATTTTCTTCCATTCACGTTGCAACATGTTTAATTCTCCAACTTTCTTCTTCCTTTCTCATTCTTTCTCATTCTTTCTCTCCTTCTATCATTCCTAGGGGTTGCTAATCACGGGTGGATCTACCATGGTGCCAGAAGTGGCACCGAAAATACCTGGTTTTTCTAGATGCAGTGCAAAAATTTTGATTTTTTTTCTTTTTTCTACTATAAAATGTGCAATTGGCAACACCTGCTACGGACCAACAATGCCTATTACGGAATCATGTGTCCGCCCCTATTGCTAATGTCATAAAGACCACAATCAGTTTATCATTGACAATGTCATTGCTAACTATCTATCCCACATTTTGTTCAACATCAACGTATATAGTAATAATTTGAGCATTCGTCTACATACAACTCAAATAAAGGGGTGTAGTGGACACTACCACTATTTTTATCATTAGACATCTTGGTTTTAACTTATTATTAATGTCCAATCATCTTGTATAAATACACACGGCGAATAAGGTGAAATCGAAATTGGGTTATTGTGCAAACAGGAAACTAAACCGAAAAAAAATAAAAAATAAAAAATAAAAAACATTTATTATTATAATTAAAATGTTAAACATATACTAAAATATAAAATGGTAAAGATAGGCAATTTTCATTTTAAAATAAACTTCCATGGATAATTTGATATATCCATGATTTTTAGTTAAATATTATTTTGAAGCAACACAATCGTACAAACATATATACAATATTTAATTAAATATTATCTACTCCCTCCGTCCCAAAATTATAGTCTATCTTTTTTTTTTGGTTTGTTCCAAAATAACAGTCCACTTTTAAAAATAAATAACATTTTTACTAAAATACCCCCTTATTATTTCTTAACCAACTAAGCATTTAATGGAACATTAAATGCAAAATAAGGACAAAACTGTTATTTTATTAAATAAAGTTAGTGGTAATTAATGTTTTTCTTAATATGTGTGTTTTTTGTCTGTGGACAATAATATTGGGACGGAGGGAGTATATTATTTTTCATAACATAATCGATAATATGAATTTAATCTAATTTCACAACATATAATGATTGTCTTAAAATAATACTTAAACCAAGAAAAAATGAAATTAGTATATAAAAAACTTACAAATTAAAAACTTTAACATAATAAGATGACTCGAAAAATGGTCAAAAACCTATAAACTTTTTTTTTTTTTTCAGTTTTATATGTGATTTGTATTTGTGTGTCTATTCAAAAAGATTGGCTTTTTTGTAATATCCACTAATTGTTTATTAAACATATTATATAAGTTGTAAAACTTTTGAATGGTTAATTATTATTTAGTGACTTTTAAGTGATATTTATTCAAATATGAGGTTTCAAATGAATATGATTTGAGTAAAAATGTGTATGTTATAAGATATATAGATATAGATATAGATATAGATTGGTGCATTAAATCAGTCATTTTATTGAAACAGTGACATTAAAAACTTCAAAATGAACATTTTAGATATAATGATCTTTTTTCAAAAAATAAAGTTGAAAATAACCAAAATTAACTTTGGAATTTGAAGATTAAATTCCGAATGGAGCATTCTTTGAAAAAAAAAATCTGGTATATAAATAGTAGTTCGGAATTAGATATCCTGAAAATATGATTATTTTTCAAAAAAAATGATTATTTTTTTAAAGCTCATATGTTAGATTACTTAATTTCCTAGAAGTATGATGTTAATTCTTACCTTTTACTATATCATCGTTTAACATAGATGTTTATATAGTGCTTTGAGTTGAACTTAGGTGCTTTGAGTTAATCTAGAAAGATTAATATTAGAGAAAATTACTCGGATGGTCCTTGTAGTTTGGCGTTATTTTCACTCTTGACCCCTAACTTTTTTTTAACTCAGATAATCCATACCTTTGATATTTGTTTCGTGTTTGGTCCCTAAGTTAACATTCAGTCCATTTTGCAGTTAGAAAGCCCGACATGCCTTGCACGATGAGGGTATTTTCTTCCATTCACGTTGCAACATGTTTAATTCTCCAACTTTCTTCTTCCTTTCTCATTCTTTCTCTCTTTCTATCATTCCTAGGGGTTGCTAATCACGGGTGGATCTACCATGGTGCCAGAAGTGGCACCGAAAATACCTGGTTTTTCTAGATGCAGTGCAAAAATTTTGATTTTTTTTCTTTTTTCTACTATAAAATGTGCAATTGGCAACACCTGCTACGGACCAACAATGCCTATTACGGAATCATGTGTCCGCCCCTATTGCTAATGTCATAAAGACCACAATCAGTTTATCATTGACAATGTCATTGCTAACTATCTATCCCACATTTTGTTCAACATCAACGTATATAGTAATAATTTGAGCATTCGTCTACATACAACTCAAAATAAAGGGGTGTAGTGGACACTACCACTATTTTTATCATTAGACATCTTGGTTGTTAACTTATTATTAATGTCCAATCATCTTGTATAAATACACACGGCGAATAAGGTGAAATCGAAATTGGGTTATTGTGCAAACAGGAAACTAAACCGAAAAAAATAAAAAATAAAAAATAAAAAACATTTATTATTATAATTAAAATGTTAACATATACTAAAATATAAAATGGTAAAGATAGGCAATTTTCATTTTAAAATAAACTTCCATGGATAATTTGATATATCCATGATTTTTAGTTAAATATTATTTTGAAGCAACACAATCGTACAAACATATATACAATATTTAATTAACTATTATCTACTCCCTCCGTCCCAAAATTATAGTCTATCTTTTTTTTTGGTTTGTTCCAAAATAACAGTCCACTTTTAAAAATAAATAACATTTTTACTAAAATACCCCCTTATTATTTCTTAACCAACTAAGCATTTAATGGAACATTAAATGCAAAATAAGGACAAAACTGTTATTTTATTAAATAAAGTTAGTGGTAATTAATGTTTTTCTTAATATGTGTGTTTTTTGTCTGTGGACAATAATATTGGGACGGAGGGAGTATATTATTTTTCATAACATAATCGATAATATGAATTTAATCTAATTTCACAACATATAATGATTGTCTTAAAATAATACTTAAACCAAGAAAAATGAAATTAGTATATAAAAAACTTACAAATTAAAAACTTTAACATAATAAGATGACTCGAAAAATGGTCAAAAACCTATAAACTTTTTTTTTTTTTTTTTCAGTTTTATATGTGATTTGTATTTGTGTGTCTATTCAAAAAGATTGGCTTTTTTGTAATATCCACTAATTGTTTATTAAACATATTATATAAGTTGTAAAACTTTTGAATGGTTAATTATTATTTAGTGACTTTTAAGTGATATTTATTCAAATATGAGGTTTCAAATGAATATGATTTGAGTAAAAATGTGTATGTTATAAGATATATAGATATAGATATAGATATAGATTGGTGCATTAAATCAGTCATTTTATTGAAACAG